CTCCTGAAGGAATGTCGAGCGATGGGTTGGAAGCAAATTCCAACATGGAAAAATACCCACTGACAGGGTCCACTGAGTGATTCACTCACTACTAAAATATTACTACAGTAAAAGATCTAAAAGCTCAGTATCCACTTCATGGTCAACCAAGTGCTGCAAACAGCATCAACCAATCATACGCAAGAAATTCTTGGGAATGTCAACCCTTAACGGTACCCTGGATTACTGTGGATGCACCTATCACATTTGAGGTGAGCAACAGATTTAGTGATGCTGACTTACACTCCTTTAGTCACTGGAGTTCATCTCTCTGATCTGTGTGGCTGAGCATCCATCCAATTTATACCGTATATCCCATCATTGCACGCAGTCGACTTTCACCCGTAGGCAGCGGGATTTTTCAACCAACGCACCTCATATGGGGAGTCGCAAAAGTTCTGCAAGCGACACATCACCTGGCGGCTCGATGGCTTGGAATCGGGCTGTTGGACCAAATCATTCTTTGGACATTGAGACATCGACCACATTCAATATTCAATTAATTGTTGGACTCCATTCAATTTTCCGAATTAGATATTTGGGTTGAAGCTTCCCTTTCCGTGGCAGGTACTATATCTACTATTGGGACGACTCTAGGATTCAAAAAAACATGGGATTTTACGCGGGAAACCAGACTGACTGATTCATTCTGCAGAGTTGAAGCAACCGAAATGGCTGGTCCATGCAAATTAATTTCTGTGTCATATATAGATTCATATATGTATATATAATTATAGACATATATATATAATCATATAAATTCATATTAACAGAATCTGATTATCAGTAGACAGTGATGGAATTTGTACATCCATCTTGGAATCTGATGGAATCTTCGGTGGAGCTGCACACCGTTTTGTTTTTTGTTTCAGGAACCCTGATGACAGAATGGCAACTTGTAAAAAACGATACGAAAAAACGATACGAACATATAGAAGATATAGAAAAATGATGATGAAAAGAAGAAACTTAAGAATCATAGGCTTCTGCTGAATTCCACTAGGAAAATGTTCGGGAAGTCTCTAAGAGATACTCTAACAACGTGGCAATTCTTCGATTTGAATCCCGCAAAATTTTTACCCCCCAGTAAACTAACATAGCTATGGACCCTGGACAATTACACATTTATAGTTGATTCACCTCTTCAAGGCGTGATTTTCCGTCGCAAACTGTCAGTTTACCTAGTTGCTATCCATTGTTCGCATGTTCGCAATGCCGAAATCAGCACTCGCCTCAGCGGGTGCGGTGCTATAAATCTCGAAGTGCCAATCCGCCTGTGAGGAAGCACATCTTCTCTCGACCCGGGAAGCTGTGAATTGTCATTGGAACGTACCCCAACAATAGGACCAAATGGGATGGCAGCTCTATTTTTGCATCCCAAGCTATAAATCAAACAGCCTAGAGGAAACCACTGCTGTGTCTAGTTGAAGCCAATATGACTCAAACAAAGAAGCATTCCTCGTTACGTCCAAGCAAGAGGGAGAGGGTAAAGTCAAACACAAGATGCCCACAATCACATATCTAGAAGACGGAATGGGTATGTTTGGATTTGTTGTGCAATTTTGTGCATATGGCTTTGAGGAGCGGTGTCATGTCTATGATCATGGATGATCATGGTATATCTATGACAAATTTCACAGAACTCCAAGAATTCAGATCTTTGTGTCGCTGCTGAAGGATTTTGTTTTTTGCCACATCGCACGGGGCTGCTCGCCGGTGTCCATGTCAGGGCTGAGATGACTTGAGACCAACCTGCCAGGGGATCTCCATGGATCAACAACTGGTGCACCCCAAGGCTGGTGAATGCTACCTACAGGTGCCTCAGGTGCCATCTTCAAAGAAAGACTTGGGAGATGGAAATGGATGAGTCGCAGAACAGTTGCGACTGTTGGTGTTTGTTACATCCAAAGTGTGCTTAATGCTTTCAATCTCTCATCAAGATTGGACTGAAAACAGAGTCCATCAAAATCCTATGATTGATCATCATGGCATCATGTCATCATGCTCACCCTTAGAATAGTTGTTTAGGGCATTCCCCTTTTTGGAGAAATGACATCCAGAAGAAAACCGATTGATAACACTTCAAAGTGGCAATTGTTGGGATTGGTAAATGGCTTGAAAAGAGCGTAATTACCTCTACTTCCAGTTGTTTATCATCATTATCCCGTCATGAACGTGATCATTTGGAGGGTCTACCCCATTTTCAGCCACACCCAAACATCATATGACGTGATTGTGAATACCATCCCCACGACATGCCAATTGAGCAGTGTTCAAAATCCCTATGTCATTCTATTGCATCCTGGTTGGTTAAGAGCGGGATTCTCTGTTCTGATCATCATCCTCCATATATAAAGGGTAGTATAACCCCATGTAAGAATCAACCAGTAGACATTTTTGAACACCGCTCAACTATATCCTTTTATGGAGGTTTCCTGAAATGGAGGTACCCCTAAATCATTAAATCATCCATTTTAGATCATTTTAGATCATTTTAGATCATTTTATATATATAGATCATTTAAGATCATTTTCGTGGGATCGTCCATTCTAAACCATCCAACTCTTGGGGTAACCCGCACCTGCCCCCGAGGCGAAGTTTGGACCAGGATCATCACCTTCGCGGGCGCCAGGCGGGCGCCAGGCGGGCGCCAGGCGGACGCCTGCTTCGACGCCTGTCCAGGAGAGGATCACCAGTTGAGAAAAAAGGGGGCAGTTCCTCCCAAAAAACAACAACAAAGATCAGGATTTGACAAAGAGATATGATATATATATATATGTAGATTTATCCTGATTTCGCCAGTGAGGCTTGAAGGAAAGCATGATCTTCGGCGGTTCAACCAACAAACAACCCATTCAAAATGGAAAAACAGGCGAGAATAGAGATACAATGGATACACGCAGGATCATCAAAGAAAGGTCCTGCTGGTAAATTACTTGGAGGGTCATCTTATCCAGATGCTTATACCATATTTCAATGGCTGAAACCACGATTACCCTCTGGTAAACCAACATAACTATGGAAAATCAAAATTTTTAATGGGTAAATCCACTATAAATGGGCCATTTTCAATAGCAAACTGTTAGTTTACCAGAGGGTACTAAACAGTTCTGGGATGATTCTCCACGGGCTGAAACCACCCATGCCCACCTATCCAGGGGTCCAGGCCGTCCTAGGCCGCAACGATGCGCAGTTCCACATCACTGGGTGGCACGTTGCAGGAGCAGTGGATCAGATCTACGATGCCTTGGAGGAACATCCACCGGAAAAGCCCATGGGAATTTCCCATGAGATCTGGGAAAGTCCTGAAACAAAAACGCCTGGAAACCAATCCAGGGGGGATATGATGGGATATATGATATATCTGGTTGGTGGTATACCTACCCCTCTGAAAAATATGAAAGTCAGTTGGGACTATTATTCCCAAAATATATATATATATATGGAAAAATAAAATTGTTCCAAACCACCAACCAGCTTACTGTAATATGGTTTAATTGTCCAGGATTTCATGCCAATTTATGTTTCACACAACACCGTCTATCTTGGTTTCATGCTGATTAACAGTCACCAAGCAAATTTGGTGAGTTCCACTTAAATGGCCAAAAAAACGGGGGATTCCCTATTTATATCTATTTATGTATGATTTTTTGTTTGGAACATCTGAACATAAAATTGATCATTTGTTTCAGGAGGAAACCTCTACATGACATGGGAAAAAACAGTCATGGGATCTATGAAGCCAAATGATTGCGATGTTCTTGCGACTGAAAATGTCATTTGGTAATGCTATCCAGGACACCCACAAACTTGCAGCTGATAAAAGTTGGAACATGTGATATCTACGGTATCATATGATATTTCATATGATTTGTTAAACGTTTGGAGATGTGTCCCCTAAATTTTGAGACAAATTCGCTGGTATGATCGAAGGGAAATTGGAAAACTTGTAGCAACTGGGCAAGTGCAGCCAAAAAATACTAGGTGAGGCTTAGAGTGCAGAAATGTGTTTGTAAATGGTCCGTAAAACGTCGAAAAACATGTATATCACGAGGATTTAAACCCATGATATATCACAGTTACACATGTTTATAATCCACTAACAGCCTTTCAAATTATCCAAGCATGGTGTTGTCTTTTTTGGGTGGGTTCTTAGGGGGCTGATCATGGTTGATCTGACTTAAGAGCTAGGGCCATACGGAAGAGACACTGTGCCATGGGGTGTCAAACCTGTCACAGGAAAATCTACCGTGCTGCCCTTTGATGTGGAGTGCTTCATCAAGAACCAAGTGGATGTTTCCTAAAATATGGCTACCCCAAAACCATGGCTTTCAATACTAAAGTAGCCTGATTTTGGATGAGTGGGGGTACCCCTATTTTAGGAAACATGTATTGAGTGAATCATCTATGATCCCCGACCATCCGAGGCTTCTCCGATTGAATTCTCGCTGAATTGCTCAATGTCCACAGGGTCAACGCCAGCACTATCGCGAGCGCCTGTGCCGGTGTCAGGGGAAGAAAATGGTGCCAGTTAAAAACTGGGAGTCAACAAGCACAACTGGTGTTCATGGCATTTTCTATGGCATTTCTGGACCACAAATGGTAAATTGTGTTCTCATATCTCCAGGCTTGCCAAAAACATCACAAATGACATCTATGGCTTGGGTCTCACATAGATTCTAAATGACCCATTAGTTAAATTCAGCCTAGGATATGTCATATTTTCACATACCCTCCGGTAATCAAACGTGGCTTGCTGGAAAATTGCCTATTTATAGATGATTTTCCCAGCTATACAAATCCATTTAGTTCGTGGATTGCCAGCCATGCTTGATTACACAGATTCATAAAGGATCATAAAGGTATATAAAGGAAATATAATGTATAACAAAATTTGACAAAAATACCACGTATTCATAACTGTTCTAAAAAAAGATCTACAGTTTTTAGGGCAAAGCCTTTATCCGGGTCGCTCCTTCGCCGCCAGCACCGTCTTGGACCCGGTGGTACCACCGGTGCCGAGGGCGCTGAGGAGGCCGCCGAGCGTGGCGCCCAGACGGCCCTGGAAGTCCAGAATAGGCAGCAGCGCAGCAAAGGACAGGGAGAGCAGCAGCACCAGGGCCTCCAATGACCGAAAAATGGACAAAATGTGGGAAACATGAAACATGTGAGTTTTATGGGGATTGAAACTAAGTTACATTATATTTATGCATGGGATCATAGGATGAAATTTGGGAGCTTCTGTTGGCGATTTGAGCAATGGATCACTGGTTGTATAGTGGGGGCCATTGCAGGTGTGCAAAACACCTAAAGATACATCATCACACTCCCAGGATGTCCCCTTCTGCAATAATATGGAATATTAGCATACATATGTAAGTTATAACAACATGGGACTATGTATCATGAATCATGGAATAGTGGATGATAAAGATATACTATGATACAGTGACCACCAAAACGATGCAAACAAAGTTAAACTTACCACAATTTGAGCAGGATGTTATTATTCCTAAAAGGGACTAATAATCATGGGGATATAAAATTATCATGATTCACATCGTGGCCAGGGCATGTTTTCTCATCTTAGGGCCTAAGACCATCGATTTTCGTGGCCGGGGATGAGGGCTATCTGGTTGGTGGTTGCTGCTAACCCTTCTAAAAAATGATGGAGTGAAAGTCAGTTGGGATCATGACATTCCCAATATATATGGAAAAATAAGATTCATGTTCCAAACCACCAACCAGATATTAATGTGTTTTGATGGATATAGTGGGAGCTTGTGAGATGCAATGGACGTTGGAAAACTGAATATGTGAACAGCATATAATTTACCATCTTGAACATGATGTTCTACTTACACAATGGGTGAACAAATCCATGCAGCAATAGGGCATTGTAAGCAACCAACATAGATGATGGGGTGAAAATCTGTTTCAATGACTCCAATGTGATAAGACTTGGATCTGACTGGTTACTGCATATGGTGTTGGAATATGTTGGAATCCAGGGTGGGCCAACCTTTCAAAGATGTGATTAAAACATATCATATCCTAAATGTTGGTTTAAAACAGATCTTTCCCTCATTATTGAGCATTCAACTGCAAAATCATAGACCGATGGATCCACAAAAACACATGTACCCTACAGCAAACGACATGGATATGGTGAAATCATGCCAAATACTTGTTTCATACAGGAAATGGTGAAATAATGGTTTCTATAGGAAATAGGAAATGGTGAAATCATGGTTTCACAATGTAACCTGGATATGGTGAAATCATGGTTTCTATAGGAAATGATTTAATGAACTGAATGTCTGCTGGATTTTCCACATCCATGTTACTTTGCTGGAGGGTAATCTCACCCGGCAATCGATATCCATTCATGGATTGTCCCATCCAAAAATGGTGACGGGCACGACTTTTTCTTGTGTTTGTTTCACGGTGTTTATTATTTTGTGTTTGTCTCACGCTGGTAAACTTGGTTTCCTCTGTGAACCCCCCAAATAACATTGTTTTGTTGATATGTTTTTGAGAAAAACTGCCCATACGTATTTCCTTGGTTTTAATCAAGAATTGGCTTCCGGGGGGGAAAAACATTGGTATGGAAACCAAGTTCAAAACGAAATAATCGCATGCTTCCCCCCATCTCTTCTCCATTTCGCCCAACAAAAAATCAGTGTTCCCCCATGTTCCCCTGTTTCTGGCTACTTTACCCAACATATATTATATAATCATCCCATTCTCAAACTCCAATTTATAGTGCAGCTTCCAATGGATTTTCCAATTCTATCACATGTTCCCATTCAAAACCTCCATGTTGCAGAAATATCCATTAAGATCCATTAAATATACCACCACCACCACCACCACCACCACCACCACCACTACCACTACCACTACCACTACCACTACCACTACCACCACCATCATCATCATTAATAACAATTGATAACCATTAATAAACATTAATAAACCATCATCATCATCATCATCATCATCATCATCATCATCATGTTCATGATCCCATGATCCATCATGATCCATCATGATCCATCATGATCCATCATGATCCATCATGATCCCAACTCAGTTTTGCTGGTTGAATCCCTGGTTGAAAATCCGTACAGCCCAGGCACGCTAACTCGCCAGTAGAGCCGCTCCTCCGCCCCCACAGGCGGCATGCAGAGACGCTGCGCTAAGACACCGTGCAGCGGCAACGAGGAGCCGACGATTAACCTCAAAGTTTTTTTTGCCACCGAAAATCATGGGATTTCATGGTGATTTCATAGACATTTAATGGATTTAATGGGATTTCACCTCAAAAATAAGGGTTTTTGTAATCGAAACGTGGATTCAGCTAGAAGCAAGTCTGATTTTACCATGGACTACAGTGTATTTGAATATGATTCATCGAAGAAAATTATGATTAAAAATCCAGGGAATGGAGACTTCACAGAATTTTCCTTGTGCAAAGCTGGGATTGACCATATTTTACCACATGAATCACAGCCAGGGCTTGAATATAAAAACAGCAAAAAGACTTTGTTTATGGCGTTCAACATGGATTTGATCAAAAAACACAAGAACTTCAGCAACAAAAGTTTGGCTGGGAAGCAGAAGTCAGAATTTCACATATTTCACAAGTAAAATTAGAGAGATTTAACAAAGAAACACTTGGATGTCACCAGAAAAGAAACAAAATGGGTGGTTCCAGTCTAGAACACACCAAACATGTGGAGATAGCCGTTGATTGTGCGATAGTATGGAGGTTCAACCAGCAAAAATGAGTGATACTGATTTATATGGTTTCTATTGGATGTTATCTAAGTTGCCGACATAAAAGGGGATGGTCAGTCTCAATTGTAAGGTGTCTGTTGGAGAATCTTGTGTGGTACCCTTTCAAGGTATCCTACTGGTAATACTGTATACGGATGTTGATCTTACATACGGTAGATACTTCAACCCAAAGATCGGATACTTTGCCAACCCTTGAACAAAAACCCTGAGAATCGCTCATTGCTTTAATCACATTAAGGAAATAAACTGTCTTCCAACCACAAACTGATAACACTGAAAGATCTAACCATCACTTTTTTGGGACCTTATAGTTGGATGTAATCCAGAAATATCAGATATCCAACTATATCATGTATGGCTAGATCCATATACCAGGGTGAACATCCACTATATAATCCAATATGATATATCATGATATATCCAATATGATATTCCCGGCGATATCATATGTTGGTTGGTTAGTTTAGGGTCAGATTCCAGCAAGCCATGTTTGATGATTGGATGGCAACGATTAATGTGGTAAACCCCATTTTCTGGTCATTTTCGGGATGATAAAAATTGTTGGTTTGTCTACAAGTCATTAAGGTGTTCTCAATCTTTATTATCTGTTTGTTTGAACTATTGGTTAGAGCAATATGACTTGAAGGCTACCTGATAATTAAGAACAACAGTAATACCTGATGGCTCATATTGTCACTAATGGTTAATATCGCTAATATGGCATAACAATGGTTAATGTAACCTGATTGTTAATGCATGTTAATGACTATCAGGTTATTCATTAACGAATTGTTCACTATAGTGAATTACTACAGTAATATTTAGCTACCCTATTAAAAAACAAAAGTGATTTACTAATAGTTAGTTATCCAATTGATTATACTTTTTGCAGATCTATCCAGTTTAAATATCACTAACTAACTCATAGTTAAGCCATAACTTCAGCGTCCGGCCTTCGAGTGTTGAGCTGTCCCCAAGCACTCAGCAAGCTTCCACTGGCGCCGCTCAGGAGCAACACCTCGCGTCCCGGGATGAAAAAATGGTATATAGGATAATCCTTAGAATGTGAGGCCCCCAAGATAGCTAAGTTGGTTTATAACTCCAATAACTGGGGCGAATCTAAACCAACTCATATCTTGGGGGCCTCACATTGTAGAAATGGATTTAATTCTGATTAGTCTCCAGTAAATCAACATAGACCCTGGCAGTTCTCGGGGTTGGAAGATTCGTTTCAACTAAACAATGACTATGCGGGTCTATGTTAATTTACCAGAGGGTAGAAATGGGTTTCATACTGATTAATCCCATCACCCATCTCTATGGTCCCAATAAAACCCAATTCAATTAAGTGGAAATTCCCTACAAAACCATGCTTTCGTTTAGGGGGTGTTTAATATTAGGGGGAAGGGATTAATGGTCAACACTGATTAATATTGATGATTGATAATGGTTATAGTGAATAATGGTTAATACTGATTAACAATGGTTGATCATGGTCATTGACGGTGAACAATGGTGAACAATGGTGATGTATGGTTATCAATGGTAAATTGATGGTAATTTAGGGATCAATGGTATTACCATAGTAATAGAATGATCATCCTTAAGAATGGTAAATTAATGGTACTTTTAACGGTAATTAGTAATTAATGATCCTATTATACCACATCAACCATCATCAAACCACATCTTAGTAATAGATAATCCTTAGTAATGTGGGTGGTATAAACCATTCCCAAATGGGTGGTGTATGATTGTTTTACTCATATTAATGGCGAACTAATGGTAATTGATGTTCCTATTCCTTTGGTTTTTGTTTCTACCATAAAATCATATTATATCTTTAGAATTGGAATTGTAGGGGGTTATTTAAAAAAAAAACAACTAGGGGATAGGAAGGTTTTGAGTAATTGATAACTAATTAGAAAATTCAATTGAACATGTAGGGGATAATTGAGTGTACAGTTCATGCTTGATGAAAGGCTACCTCACAAGCATGAGGATGTATGTTTATAATAATTTCAAAATATGTGTGAGTGTGTCATAATAACATAGCTGACTCACATAGTAGCCAGTATAGCAACATGGGCCACATGGATATATGACCATGTAATCCAAAATAAACCAAAAACACTTTCCATTACGAGCACTTCAAGCACCAACAAGTCTCTTGAACTGCACCGTCCCAAAGTATCTGCACATTGCTGGTGACATCCCAGTTACCCCAGCAATATTCCTATCGGTATCCGTACTAGATGAACATCATTATACATGTAGACATGCTCTGTATATATGTATACATATATATATATATATGTATATGTACACACATATATATATATATATACAGTAATATCCCTGTCATACCCCTATGTTTCCATAACATGCTTGGTTTCTGTTCATACCCGCATTCCCCCCGCAGGTGTTTTTCACCGCACCTGCAACATGCGCCAGAAACCCAAGCGCTGTTCCACGAATTTGCCCAACGTCCATTGGAGAAAGAGGCCTACGACACAACGTGAGGTCGGAAGAACCGCCAAGCAACGATGGTTGTAAATTTAGATTTATGGATATACTGTAGATAGTCAGTCATGTATATATAATATTATATCATAGTGTATATACTATAATATTATATACTATTATATAATATTGTGTATATATAATATTATATATATAATATTATATAATATTATATAATATTATATAATATTATATACTATTATATAATATTATATAATATATATATACCAATTAATCAATGGGTATTCAATCCCTATCATGGGAGTACTGTGATGGAAAGCCCTTCATGTTTCCCCTTCTCCATACACCATGGGATCATTCCAAGATGAACCCGCCCTACGTCCCCACGTTCCCCAATTCATCACCACTTTGATGGGATCAAAACCATCCCCATTTTAGTTTTTTTTTTTTTTTAATTTGTTGTTGTAGCTTTATGGCAGCCAGGGTTGCCTATATTACCCTCTGGAAAAAAAACATAGCTATGGAAAATCACAATTTTTAATGGGAAAACTCATTATAAATGGTCATTTTCAATAGCTATGTTAGTTTACCAGAGGGTAATATGATCCAGCAAAAACCATGCGATGTCCCCAGCAAGACGCCCCGTCGGATTAGTGCACCTGGCACCAGTTGAACGGCACCGGTGCTGAGGAACAAGGACGACATCATGCGCCAGTGTTGACCTGTGATCTGAGAAACCATTTGACATCCTCTGGATGTCAAAGATACGTGTTTTTTTCGGACTGATTGATTGCAATTGTATGATGTATATTGAGTCCCAATTCAGGCTCACGGCCATCATTGACTATGTACAGTATAATGTATATGTATATAATATAATATATATATATATATGTAGAGGTCCACTGTTGTTGCATCTTGAACAACATCCAAACATTATGACATGATAGAGGCTGAGATGTTGATGTTGGTGGCAACCAAGTATTTCATCCCACCTTGCAAGAGCTACCATCGATTCAACTAAACCCAAGTCCGATCGAGGATCTCTTGAAGATCATCTAATTATATATCAATATATATATATATAATACAGATATATATATATATAGATATAAATATTTACATATAGATTGAAAATGGCCTACTTACAGATGATTTTTTGATGACACTTAATTCACATCCGCCGGATCCGCATTAGAGCCATACTCACACCATGGAAAACCATCGCTGACTTTTCCACGAAACACATCGCTGGCTGGTGGTTTCAATCCAATAGAACTTGTTTGAAAAAACAGATGCTCATTATGCTCATTTTTCTAGGGATGTGCTGTGAAAATACAATTCTTGATGGGATCATTATTTATTTACCGCTAGAATTTCACAATTGGGATCATCCCCATTTGCCATGCGGTCGCCGTGGCTGCCTCCATCAACAAAGAGGGCACCGCAGCGGTAGAGGCTGGTGCCGTTGGGGCCAATGAGAGGATTGGTCCAGAGACTTTCGTAGCCTTCGTTGAAGACCACAGAGAAGATATGCACCCCAGCCTGGGATGAAGAAAAACGATGAACAGTTCTGGTGTTCAAATTGAGTCGTAACTGGAATATCACCTAAATTAAATTATATATATATATATAGTGTGAGGTATATTGTCTATTGTAGTTTATGATAATATATATATAGATATGATTACATTAGATTGCGTTGTATGGTATTGTATTGGATTGCGATAAAACACGTTTTTGTTTATTGAATTAAACATGTATCAAATCATACTGTTATTTTTTTGGGATTATTGAAATATATCATATTGTCGTATATTATACATTGCATTTTGTACTATCATTACATATCATTACATTACATTGCATTACATTACTTTATTGAAGTACATTATGCTATACTAAGTTACATTAGACTATATGACATTGGTTTTGACTCAAAAAAACACATTTACCATATGATGCTATACTGTATTATATCACATCATCATGATTGCACATGGTGTTGAGGTGATGGTGAATAGTTCAACTGCTCTAAATTGGTGTCTAAAAATGGGGTAAATCCCAAAATTACTGTTTTTGTTGGGAAAAAACATCATGAAACACTGGATTTGGGGATACTCAATTTTCAGACAAACCATGACAAACCCCTGTAGTTCAATATACATCAATATACTGTATTCATGGTTGATTAGGGTCCACAACATCCTTATAGTCCCCTAGTTGAAGATTGGAAAACAACATAATATAGAAAATGATAGAACACCTAATTAATTTGTTTCTATTAGGAACTAGTTGTTTTCCAGAAAAACCCTCCACCGCGCCCCGCCTGCATCGTTCCCAGTGCCGCCAGCGCCCGCGCCGCCCCGCCGTCCGCGGACACGGCGCCCCGTGGCGCGAGGCGCGCACGCCAGGGCGAGGCTGGGGAGGCGTCGGAGGTGGCGTCGCCTGAAACAGAACGGTTTTTTTGGTGATTTAACGGGAAGTTCACCTAAGAAAAATGGGAAGTTCAATAAGCTCAGCAGCAATCAGTGGGGATACAGCCATGACATTGGTCTTCGAGTCTTCGGCGCCTGCAGCACCCAGAAGCTCAGGACGAACTACCCGAGCCAGGCCTGACATGTCAGGTGAAGGTCTGTACCGTTGGTTTAAGGTCTTTGATCAGTTTGATCCTCAAAAATTCCTTCCATTATACATGGTTGGTCAATAAGTATTCCATTATCAATTTATTATAATCCCCGATATATTGAGTAGTAGAACTTCCCAAACTCATCAACCAACCAGGGTTTTGAACACTACTCACTCATTTGGAGGTGTCCTAAAATAGGAATACCACCAAATCATCCATTTGTATCCAAAAAAAACATTAGAAACAATCCAGCTATTGGGGTATCCCCATTTATGGAAACCCAAAAACATGTGTGTGATTGACATTTTAAGAGACAACCCCCATTCGATCTGGCTATTAATCGATATTAATAGTTTATTTTACAAGATCCTCAAAAACTGTTTGCCAAAAAAAATACAACACCCCGTAAGTCCCTTGGTTGAAAATTAATGAACATTATCATGTTTAGACATCACGTATTGGCATTGTCAAAATTGCCATTTGGAGGCATACCTTCGTATACACATTCAAACACACACGTTTTTCTGCTTGTTTGAGTAGAAGAGCTGAGTTTTGCTCCATCTTCCAATGACATCTCCAAACGTATCATTCTGTGGCTTCATGATTGGCGGGTTGATGCGATGATTGGTGGGTCAGTATCTTGCTATGCGCCAAAAAAATAAAACCAGGTACACCCATAATACTCTATCTATATAAGATATTCTAAGATGATTTAGGTCTGCAAGAGTATGCAAAAAATCCAGCTTTGGATTCCCTTCGTTTCCAATGGTATACACATACATTACATCATTATATAAATTCCCATTCATGACACAGAAAAAATACGTTGATTTCCGCATATTTTCACGATGATTTCCGCACATGTTCTTTGCGCCAAGATTTGCTGGTTAAATTTTCATTTGTTCTTGCTAAATTACAATATGCAAAAACACTCACACAAATCTGAAATATATAGGTCCTTTTGAGGATGATTCCCCTATCAAAAGATCAACATTGTTATACTTTATCTGGTAAATTAACATACCCAATGACAATTTTCCGCCGTACATTTTTAGATTACCAGAAGGTAAAGCCATACATATATATATAATATTATCCCTTGGTATCCCCAACATATCATTGAAGTTCTCAAAGATATTCCCATTATATTCCATCATATCATTATCATTGTGTATATACATACATATTGCTCCCATTATATCAGATCATTTTTCTAGAACCTATATATCATATTATATCCCATATCATTGTCATAGTAAATTGGTTATATATTGCCATTATATTTCCATTATCACAGTAAGTTGCTTATATATTCCCATCTGGTTGTTGGTTTCACACCCTCCGAAAAATATGAAAGTCAGTTGGGATTATTCTTCCCAACATACGGAAAGTCATACTCGGACAACTTCCTGCGACCACTTAGCACGGCAGCGGCTGCCGCAGTGCTGAAGCGGTCAAGTCTGCTCGGTCATGCTACAGGCCTGGCCAAATCACAGGCTTTCCTGATCGGGCGAGCACGTGTGAAATTGGCTAATGCAGATTGTACAGAGGCCAAAACATCAGGTTTGAGACGAAGATTGATACCATCAAGTGGAGTGTATACACCCAGCGATGACCGATTAAGGCCAGAACAAGCTGGTGAAATCTCGCGCCAATGTCTACACAGGTATCGAAACATCTTCCGAACTATACCATAAAAATGTGTTAGGGTTGGCCGTACAAAAAGCGATCTCCTGTCACACATGGTCCAGCAACCGTTCATGGGATTACGAAACGGAAACAGGACAGAATCAACCTTGAGCAAACCAAAAGTGACCTCCAAATAACTAACTGAGGCCGGCACCCCCATATCATCTTCGTGAGATCGCAGCCAATCCAGCACATGTTGCAAAAATTCCACTGGAAACCCTAGAGTGTGTACAAAATGCAAAGGATCCAAAGCGGATGACAAAACATCAAGGAAACTGTACAAAACGCTGTCACTCTCATCCTCAGAGCAGTCAACTCGAACGCACGGCGTGTTTGACGTGTCAGTCTGAATGCGCTCAAAGATGGAAAAGTAGTATTTTCTCAAACGCTCGAAAAGACCAGTGAAACGCTCATCCCATTCCTTCTGAAAAAGCAGCAATTCTTGAAAAGCACTTGAGCGCTCTTCGTTGCACCGAACTGCCAGTGAGTCAGCATGTCCATTATTGATTGCCACCCACTCTTCAAAAGGTGACTCACAATCTGAAATGCAAAGGTGGGAAGGTATCCAGGTGGAGCCTATCAAACCAGCTAAATCATCCAAAAGCAGTTCGTCAACTACCAACCAGAGATCGGCATTGGCCTCTGCATGTTTTGTGACATAGCCAGCTAATCGTTTTTGAAGCCCACGGTGGATCTCCAATGCGTCGAGCCAAATGTGAGTCGCCCTCTTCCAGTGTTGCACCCATCGTAAGGCTGCAATCACCGCCGATAGTTCAGCTCTTGCTATCGTCTGAGGCAAACCCGCAAGCCATCCAGCCGCTATAGGAGATTGGGAAGTTGCGTTGTAGAGCCCCCAAGCGGCTCTTTTGGTCTCAAAACGTCCATCTTCACGATGACTGCCATCTGTGAAAAGGTGTTGAACCTCATCGCCCATGGGGCCAGAATGAAAAACGCCGGTGGTGTCCTCCAATTCTGTGTAATAGGTTCGCAGGGCTTCCACCCATGGAGAGCGTGGACATAGAAGGTGAAGCACGAAAGCTCGTGGCAAACCATCCAGCTCATCCGTCAAAGAAAAAGTTTCCCGTAAGTCCACATACTTTTTACAAGTGAGCAAATGTTCATGGGTTTGGGGACAAAAACAAACAGAACAAAAACCATCTTTAGTAACATCATATTTGCTATGAGACTTCGCATCCAGAAAGGTGCCGCTTTGCAGTGCTGATTGCAGCGAGCGCTCCAAGGCAGTGAGTTTGTGGTTATGCCACTTCACCACGTACTCATCCATGTCATTCAATGCCAGCATTGAAGGTCTCTGCAAAGTTGTAGCTACGTAGCAAAGCCATGAGTCTTTCAGAAGGTGCCTCAAAAGCATCCATGGAGTCTGCAGCAAGTCATGAGAAAGACCTTGCCGGTCGACAATGATGGGTGGAAGTCCAACACTCCAACCGATCTTGTTCAAGGTGTCCAGCAACACTCCAAAAGGTCCGTTGGTGATTTTGCCATCAAAGGATTGCATCCATAATCTCCAGCAGTCCAGTATTCGAGGAGAACGCCCACAAACTCGTCGAAAAGTCTGGAGTACCGAAAGAACATGGAAAAAGCCGGGGTCAGATTCCATCTTGTCATTCAAAGAAAAGCGCAAGAGAGCATTGGAGCCAGCCTGATTACATCTCAAAGCTTTGTTGGCTGCTTGTCGCAATTGGTGGTGGTAGGAGTCAGCCAATGGACAAGAAGCATTCCCATACAATGCGGATGCCCAAAAAGCCATCGGCAACACTGCAAACTTTTGTTCCAAAGGACAAGCACTTTTCCTCAGTCGTTCCCACTTGGCGTGGAGTTTGTCTCCACGAGCTCGAAGCTGTCGGTTGCGACGTGATGCTTCAAACGTCATGCTGCCTCCAAGTTCAAGAGCATCGCTCTGTATGGACAAACCCAAAAGCCGCAGCAGGGCTCTGGAACTCGCTGAAGTGCTCCAAAAGTAGGTCTTTGCAAAATCCAAGGCAAGCCCCCAAAGTTGAAAGAAGCAAATGGTGCTGAAAAATGCCGAAACAACATCCATCACCTTGTGTCCTGCCTCAGAAACATTGTCAACGTAGGAAAAGGCATGCACAGAGGGAGCTAATGCGGAGAGATAAACATGTAGAGCCCAATCAATCAGGACCATCCCAACCACCGAAAGTGAACATCCCTCTGGTAATCCTTGTGAGCTACGAACCGGCGCACTCAATGTGGTGCGCACCTGGAAGGACCGCACAAAGTTGTCCAGGAAGGAACGCCAAGGCTGCAGCAGTTTGGGGCAAAGCCCAACATGGGAAGCCAAAGTCATCAAAGGATCCCTACCTATATTGTTGAAGCACTTCTCAATGTCCGTGCTGAAGCCAGAAAATTCAATGCCCTGTTGGATACAAACCTCAATGAAGCATTGGAGCTGAAGCCAAATTTGTGCACATTCTCTGCCGGGTAGGAATCCATGTGCAGAGGCCGGCACAACCATGCTGAGCAACTGTAGCAGTGGTAAAGCACACATTCTGGACCAGGCACGATAAACAGTGCCCAAAATGACCACTGGTCGAAAATGATTTGGCAGGTGCGAAAGTTCCTGCTTGCTCAAACTCAACACAGTGCCAAACAACAGTTGATCTGGCCATACGCAAGTGTCACCATCGATCTTCTTGATGAAGGTGAGGAGGCTGTTGCTTGATTGTTCAGGGAGCTGCTTCAAGTCTTTGACATCGATCCCATCCACTCCTCTTGCCGGTCGCGGCGGAAACTGGTTCAAGGTGGTTTGCCATTGGCTGTGGGTCAGGTCAGGCTCAGGAAAGTCCAAGCGAGGCAAGTAAGCATGAATGAATCCAGTGATTCTGTTCCATTGTTCCGAACCTATCATACTTGCGGTCTGCCATCTAGGTCTCCATAAGTCAATCAGAGCTTGATGAATTTGTTCCGTCGAAGAGTAGTATTGGTGACATTGTAAAATGTCGCCTGGCTCAGCATGACTTGGGAGAGACCGAAGGACAAGAAGATCACCATCGGCAGAAACAACCTCAACTTGGACGTGATTAATGAACCACACCCTTCCTTCTAGTTCCTGGACAGGTTGATCAACGTGAAGCTGGCAGCCACTGAAGTCCAAGGCCAAGATGGTGAAGTCACTAGTATGCCACAAAAGATCCAGCTGCTCTCGTTGTGGAGGTCGTAGTTCTCGAAAGAGACGATGACAGCATCGATCGTATTTTGTTTGTAGCAATTTGCGTCGTTGACGTAAATGCCATCTCTCAAAGGATTCAAAGTTGGTCTTGAAGTCAGTGAAGATCAGCTCAGCTGTGGGGCCATCTGGTGGCGCCAATGGCAGCGAAGAAGGAGCCATTGAAGATTGATGTAGCCGCCGAGTCCACCAAGAGTCAAAAAGTCCATCAAATCCACGACTCTTTCTTATGGCCATCCACAAGTTCAGTCTGTATGCTTCTGCGTCCACTGTCAACTTGTTGGCAAGGGCTGCATGTTTGTAGCTCTGCAATCGTCTGAGCTGCTTGAACCACAAATGCACCTGCTTCGACACAAGGTCAGAGCGAAGTTGAACTTCGCCAGGTCTAGAAGCCTTGACCACTGGAGGTGTCAGGGATGCTGTTTGTGGCTTAGTACGCACTGCTCTGCCCTTGCAAGCTTCTGGAAGGCGTCCGGCTGGTTGTTGCAGGACACAGCCATCAAGCGCTCTTTCCCAGTGTTGGGCCCATTCCGTGAAGTAATTGGTGGAGGAGCCATCCACATAATCTGGCGCAGGCGGGTCCCGCAGCTTGTTGTGCCATAGCTCCAAGTCAATTTGGTCCCATGGTATTTGAGTAGGTTTGGGCCATGTTGAGATATTTGAAGTGAAGGTAGGCACCGCAAAATCCGCATACAAGGTGGTATGGTCAGCAAAAATGTCAATGTTGTCAACATTGCGGCAGAGCATGGCCGCTTCTGGAGACATCCATATCATGTCTACCACCGTTGCCTTCTTGCATGTAGGCTGAATGGGACGGTGCCAACATGTATTGGCGTGAACTTGCGCTTCTGTCCATCCATAGCTTTCCCAGATGCGAAATTCATCTTGTTGGTGGATGGCGCTGTTGAAGTCACCTGCGATGATTCTAGGTCCAGAGCCACTGATGACCATCTCCCTAGTGAGCGAAGACAACAGCTGGCCAGTCAGCTGGCGACTGTTTGGCCAAGTGGGGCCAGAAGGAAAACCATAGCATGCCGCCAGTAGAAAAGGCAATTGATTGACCAAATGTCTTGTGATCAAAACACGACCCGAAGATCTTTCTCCATGTTGCCATGCCACATTGAGTTCCCTAGATGGAAAGTCACTGAGAACCCCCACTCCGGACCAAGTGCCGGCTTCAACAGAGTTGGATCTAAAAGCGACAGGGGCGCCAAAATGGGCTCTGATTTGTCGATTCATTTGGCTTCCCGTACGAGAAAGCGAAGTCGTGACAGCTCTTTGCAAACCATGGGTCAAATGTGTTTCTGCATAGCACCAAATGCCACATCCAAGTTGCAAAGCTGTCAATTCTTTGCCTCGCAATCCACCGGGATTGGAACATCCAATCCTCAGCAAGGAAGGGTTCTCAATGGGGAGTGCACGATCTGCGGGCTCCAGCATCTGTCCATCTGGGCCCGGGTGGTCAGCCTCACCAAATCTGCATGTAGAGGAACGAAACAGATATTGTTGAGGTAAAGGAACATCAAAGTGATACGCACTCAAACTATCTGGACTGTTGCGCTCAGGTGGAACGTCCACTGAGCCAAGTTGCAAACCATCAGCCCACACCCAAGGCCAAAGGAAGAGAAGCAAAAAATGCCACAAAACACCTCCACGCTTGCCGGTCATGGCTCTCCGGCAACGTGTGTGAGATAGTCATTCACTGCGAGACTTCTTCGCCAACATTGCCTCAAAACGGTCAAATTGGCTGGTCAGCTTGCTGGAGATGTCGCTGGATAGTGCTGCCATAGATCCCTGCAAAGTGTTCTGCAGGATCTGGGTCTTGTTGTCCACTTCCTGTTGGATTTCAGTGATTTGGGCAGCGACTGCTTGGCCTTGTTGTTCAACCACTTGGCGTAATTGTCCAAGCTGAGACTCGGTGTTGGTCATTCGTTGGCCAGCCTCCTGAAACCATTGGTGGAACTTGGCGCCCTGTGCTTGGAGCTCCGCAATGTTGACCTCAAGCTTTTGAATGTCCTGTGTGGGCACCGTTCCTACAGGTTGCTGTTGCACTTGCTTCTGAATCTCCTCTTTGATGGTGTCTTGGATCTGGGAGAATCTGGAAGAGGAAGCAGGAGCAAATGATGGAGCACCTGAAATGGGCTTCTTCCAGGTCGACCAAGGGTCTGGTCCTTGAAACCATGGATCTGTTGTGGAAGGGGTGGCACTGGATGCCTGCCCTTCTTTCAAGAACTTCTTGGTGCGAGTAGATGCCACCAATGGTTGTTGAACTGCTGGGGCAGCGATGTCTTTCTGCAAGGTGATCAGGACATCTTGACCAAAAGCCGGCATGACTTTGTTCGGCGGAGGTTGATCTGCGCCAATTGTCCAGGCTTGGCCCTGCAAGTTGCCTTTGATCGGTTGCAGGGGCTTCGCAGGCCATGTCCATGCTTCCAACAGCTTTGCCATCTGGGATCTCTGCAGTCCAAATGGAACTGGAAACACCGTGTAGACTTGTCGAATGTCTACATCGATGTATTCATCGTCGGGTCGCAACTCCTCATGGGTCTTCTTCTCATGTGTCTTGGAGACTCTGACTCCATACCTGGTGTTCAGCCGAGCAATTGCAATGCCATGGGTGCAGGTGCGCAACTTGTGAATCGCTTGATCACGATCATGGCCGGCTAACCATATGACACAGTAGTCTTCATGTGGCCCCTTGACTTTGGAGGAACGTGGCTCCAAATAGACCCCCTTGATCCCAGCACGGAGCAGAAAGTCCAAGGCAACCGTGGGGATTCGGAGCATCACTTGGAAATACTGAGCATGTTCTGGCTTCGTGTTCTTGCCATTGAGATTGCAATAGCTTCGAGCCCAGATGTCCATGATGATGCCTGGTAGTGCTTCTCCAACTGGCGCATGGAATAGTGCACATTCTTTACCACATTGGCGGCCAGAGCAAAGGCGAAGTTGTGGAACTAGCTGCAGAAGTGCACGAATTGGTCCATCAGTGATTTGCTTCCATGGAATGGCCAGTTCATCTTGGAAGATCTGCACTTTCAGAATGTTGGTTTCTGGGACCGCCAGTTGTGGAGATGAGCGCTCCTTTCGTTGAATGCTCCCGTCACTAAGGATCAAAAGAGATCCATGCAGCAGCAGTGGCTCATCCGTCGCAGTGCAAAGTGCGGGGAAGCACAAGTGGCTGATTGAGGCGTCGCCGCAAAAGTCCATGGGCACCTCAGTGTTGATCAGCAGCCCAAGTGTGGTGGAGCTGATAATCTCTGCCGCTTCAATGAAGGGCTTGGCATCTTGATAGGTACAAAATGCTAGTCCAGTGGCATCTTGACCAACTTCTTCAAAAGGGATCTGAGGGATCTCATCGCCGTCCCCATCCACGAAGGTGTCTGGAAGCAATTTCAAGGTTGTAGGATCCACCTGTGGAGTCTTGGCCATGGGAGATGTGGTTTGCTTCTTCTGTTTGGCCTTCGGGATGTGTGCCCCATGTTTCTTTCGGGCTTGTTGCTCAATATGTTGTTTGAGTTCGGCTTCTTTGACCCAACGAAATCTGGTACTTGGTCGAGATGCCAGGCCTTTGAGTGTTGCCCAAGGGTTGGCAGTTTGAAAAGCGTCCGTGATGGCAGCAGCACCAAGTATTTTGATTGCATCTTGGGCTCTTTGCAAGGCAGCATCGTCTGGCACTCCACGTTCGACTAGGAATGCAGCAAGGCGATCAGATAGATCCGTGGATCCTTTGCCCATTGGGCGAAAAGCTGTCTTGGTGTGCTGATGACTGGCTAACAGATTGTGCAGCCGTAGTTCATCTTCTGGGGCGAAGTGTCCTTCAAGGCCATGGATGAGACACAGATGCATGATTGCCAAGGTGCCACAAGTGTGTGGATATGTCTGTGGCTGCATGCTGAAGGCTACCACTGGGACAAATGGCATTTTGAGCACCTGGCTTAAAGTCCAAGCCAGTTTTGTTGCTTCCTGAAGGACAAATGATCGAAGTCCATCGAGATAAGTCCAAGCCAAGGTCTGCCCTTCAGGTGTGCCACATAGTAGCGCCCAATGGTTGTTCGCTGCAAAAATGCAGAAAATGTCTCCGTTGCTCTCCTGATACAATGCACGAAGTCCATGGCATTGAAAAGGAGTGGCCGTTTCATCGATCAGCGCCTTGGCCATGGAGGGGGTAACCATCAGCGGAGGCTCTTCATACGGGCTCAAAGTGCTGCGACAAACGCCAACCAAAGCGCTCCAAACTGTGACATCGGTGAGCCCGATGTGCTCAGTGGCTTGAAGTCCAAATGCCATCTGTGGTGACTGAAAGACTGATCTAGATTGTGCGATCAATCTCAGGCTGCCCCAGATTCGATAATCAAGACCGTAAAATTTGCCCTCTCCATCAATGCAATGTGAAATCTGAGCAATGTCACATTGTTGCAAGGCTTGGAAGAGGAAGGATCCAGGACGTACAAAGGCCACGTAGTAGTCACCCAGGTACTCAATGCTGATCATGTACTCAAATGAAGGCTCTTCAAGATGTTGCGCTTGAGTGATCATGATACAGTAAGGTCCATATGCCCCCTGTTCAAGAAAGATTTGATCATCTGGCAATGCCCTGGGGCCATCAAGAAGATGAAGCATCTCTCCCCGAGCCAAGGTAAAGCTCTCCGCACGCAGAAGTTGTGCAACCGTGGTGGATCCTGCCGTGAGAATCTCAATTTGGCTGCCATCTGGGGTCACCACATGCAACTGTCTTGGAAGATCTGATTGCTGCCACATGTGGTAGTGTGTGCGTACCAGTTGTCGCTTTACCATGTTCAACAACTCCGTCGCTGCGTGCATGGTCTGATTGATGTCATGTTTGGCTGCCATGGAGGCCAAGCAAGAGAAAACCCACAAAGCTTGCAGTGGAGAAGCCAATTGGCCAATCAGGCTGAGAGCTGCACGTAGTTGAGGAAGATGAGTCACTGTCAGTGGCACCCCGTGAAGTGCAAAGAGCTCCATAGGATGAAGATGTCGAGGTTGTCCATGCAATCTCGAGACAACAAAGCAACCTCTCAGCCCTTTGCTTCGCAGTGATTGCTCTGAAAAAGGATGTACTCGACACCCACAAGGACATCCAGTGCAAATCGAACCGTAGCTGTGCAAGAATGTTGGTGCTCGATCATTCAAGTCCAACAAGCGTGCATCATCTCCAAATTGAGTATCGCTGTAGAGATGAAGTTCTTGATCTGTCAGCTGCAGTTCGGTTTCATGATGCAAGGGCCAGAGTCCCCATCCTGGTAAAATGGAGTGAATGGTCTGGTAGTCGTGGTCTTCAGGCCATTTGAGAAGCGTAGTGGTGTCCCAGGACTCCGGACACAAAATGACCCACCAACGATGGCGACGGCAGGGCCATTGATGGCTCAGTGCCAACGTGGTCTCATGAATCTTCCATCCCATGAAATTCGCCAATGCTTGGATTTCTTGTCGCACTCCCTGATCAAATTGTGCCTGGGGCGTGCATTCGAGAACCAGGCAACTTACCATGTGCAGGTAAGCTGTGCGAAGAATTGCTGTGAGAACTTTGTGACGTGGGTCCTGGGATCCAAGTTGCATGCCTTGAGTGCTGTGTGGTTGACAGGGAAAACCTGCTGCAAGAATTGGAGCATGACCTCCTGAAACATGTAATTCACCTTTGGCAGAATCATTGCATAGATCTCTACAAAGGACTTCCCCATGTCGATTGAGAAGCAAATGTTCACATGCCAGCGAAGAGCTATCCAGAGAGGCCACAATGTTGCCATTCATGAATGAGACGCCAAGCCCGATTCCGCCCATGCCGGCGCAAATTTCTTTGATGTTCAATTGAAAATCCCTGTCGGGGTTAAAAGGAACAACTATTGATTTGGAATCCAAAACAAGGAGAACAGGTTCTGTGTCCTCCACCACTGCATCATAGATGGTGAAGCAACCATCTGGCACCTCTGAAGTGAAGAGCACCATGAGATCGGTGCCCAAGAGCACTGCTTCGAAGAGATCACCAAGACCTCGACGTCGTTGAAAGACGCCCGCAAATCTCGACCCAGCAGTCCCCGGAGCACGGAGGAAGTGGGAATAATCCATGGGGAAATAGGAACACCGAGAGTTTAGCTGTTGATCGGCCCTACCACGGGAAGGCTCTCGGGCCAGGGCTATACGGAAAGTCATAAAATTCATGTTCCAAACCACCAACCAAATATTCCTGTGAAATTCAAGAATGATAACCTCTGGTAAACGTTTACACAACTATGGAACATCACAATTTTTAATTGGTAAATCTAATATTTATCTGGCCATTTTCAATAGCTATGTAACTTAAATTACCAGATGGTAAATCCATTAATTGCCATCAATCAGCACTAATCACCATTGTTAACCATGAATCAATCACCATTAGTCACCATGATCAAGCATTGTTAATCCATGGTATCCCCATTACCCTCTGGTAAACTAACATAACTATGGAAAATCACAATTTTCAATGGGAAAAATCACTATAAATGGTGATTTTCCATAGTTATCTTAGTTTACCGGAGGGTATCCCCATGATATTCCCATTATTCCAGAATGATACCCCCACCTGGAATCCCTATCCCCGGCATCTCCCCACCTGGCGCAAAGGCCTCCGCTGTCAGAGCCGGCCGGAGCCTCGGGAAACAAAAAGATGACGGGAGTTTTTTCCGTTTCAGCCACCCAAAAAGGGGGATGTTCCATGCTTTGACCCACTAAAATTTGGGATTTTCCAGGGATTTTCCAAGGTTTGACCCATAAAAAATTTGGATTTTTGAAAAATTCCCATAGTTTTACCAAGTCAAATTGAGATGGAACCCAGAAAAATGATCCAACATTGGGATTTATAAATAAAATTGAGATTTAACTTCACATCATTTTTGGCGTTGCAACCGAAAGTATCGGGAGATCACTGTAATATCATCTAGAATCTGGTGAAATCCTGGGGATTTCATCGGGGTGAGGATTTCACCAGTGGATTTTTTCTGATGTGCTGAGACCCCGGGCGCATACGTGCAGAAGCAGCGGGAGCACAAATCATGCCACCTCTGGTGACTCGTCACTGGGGTTGGAAATTCCAGGGGAAACAAGACACCGTACACCATCCAAATTATATGGAGTTCACCGGATGAAATCTCGATGTCAGTTGGCATTCACCTTTTCGTAGATTCAAACCATTACCATCCATCCAGCTAACATGATAATTCTGCCAGTTCTAGGTGGCTACTTTCCAATCTAAAAATGGGTCATATCATGTCATATCAACATTAAAAGTCATGTTGTTGATGAAACAAGATTCAACTCCGTTTTCCATAGTTTATGTCAAATCATCAACTCATTACCCCTTCGCCCGGCTTTGCCAGGGTGCTGAGGATTTCCCAAGTTGCCACATCTCAATTGACCTGGGCTGTTCACCTAAGGCTCCCACGTAGATCCACCAAGGGAAAGAGAAAAACAATTGGAAATACATGGGAAATTGGACATTCTATGGAAAGTCTACGGAGCACATGACAAAACAATGGGGAATCTAAGATGTATCTGGAATTATATCATATAGAGATCCCCCTTTACATTAACCCCTAGGCGCTGAGGGTGCCATTCTGTAGAGTGCCCAGCCTACCCCCCTACAAAATGGTATGGGGACACCTACAAAATGGTAGCACCCATGGGGGTTGCTGCCTACAAAATGGTGGCACCACGGTACCCCACCTGCCCACCAACATCAAGTATTTTGGGTTAACATAGTGTCCAAAAAACTGTGAAAAATGGGGGAACCATTTTGTAAGACACAAAGCAACCCTGTGGTCTCACCCTGGTCTTTTTTGGGCGACCAATTTGTAGACAGTTTACTCTGAATGAAATTTCTTCTTAAAATCTCTCAAGCAATCCTTGCATATCTCACATTTTTGCATCTTGTGCATCTGGCAATCGGGCTTCATAAAGTATCGTCCAACAGAAGTAGTCAGATAGACTGGACCGAAGTAGTGGTCATCGTTTTTTTTTCTGGACCGGGGCTGGTTTCAAAATTTTGGAGGCTTTGAAAACTTTGCGATTATCTCCACCACAAAATCCACAGGGTCGGCAGACACACTTTCTAAGTAGGATCCACATTGCCAAGCCTATTGCAAAGGCAGCCACCACAATCCCCTCCAACAAACTCATGTAGCTTGGCACCCGAGATTCTTACAAAATATGTCTTGAACCAGCATGAACCAGCTACAAAATGGTAGTGCCAGAGTATCATGAACATGCTTGTGGATGTGATGGTGCCCTTCCATTTTGTAGACAGATTGTTTGTTCTGGATGGTTCTGGAGGGCCCTTGAAGGTCATAGAAAAAAAACATCTAGTTTTCCCATTTTTCACATTTTTTTTGGGACATTATGTTAATTTATGTTAATCCAAAATACTTGAAGTGGATGGGCAGGTGGGAGACATACTTAGGCTTCCATAGATTTCCTGCTTCATTCAGCACTGATTCTCTGTGGAGCATGACGGCCTTTTTTCCCTCTGCTGGATGGGCACCCTTGGATGAAACCTCAATCCACATCGATCCACATCTCAGCTAGTTTCAGCTTCTCCTCTATGTCACTCGGGGCCGCGCAGACCAGTGCACTGTTCCATGCTGGTTAAAGCATGGCTACATGAAAGCGTATCTGCACACTGCTGCATTTCGGCAGTGAGTGCCGGCCGCGCATCGAATTAGTAGCGAGCAACAGCCCCTGGGTCCCTGTGTGACCTAGCCATGCTTGACGTTACTTAACGATGACTGTGCTTCTCCTGAAGCACCATTGAGGAAACTGGTAGTAATTCAATAACAAATAAGGATCAATGATGATCAGAGTAAATCAAAGTAGTGCGTGCCTCAATTTATCGGACCCAGCTGCTGCCCGAAGAACCCAATTACTGGTTTCAGTATCAGGATATGTCAGAATTGCAGAAATTGCCAAGAATTGCTGCAGGAAAATCCGGCTGTGTTGTGTTCACAAGCTCTTGGCAGCACAAAACCTCCATATCTACATTTCCTTCTCACGGGATTCACCAATTCTCTCCTATTCTCTTCTTTGTACTGTGCATCAACCAAATGGCTCAAGCTGCCAGGATGATCAGCTCCCCTCTGGAACTTCTGCATCACCATTAGTTGCGGCCATGTAGTCCGCAATGTCCCTCAACAAACGCAGCCAACCAGAGCGCTTGGCTGGCCTCTTCCGCAGCTGCATCTCGATGATGTTCAAGTGCTTGAACACAACCCTTCCGTACATCTGGGGACTTTTCACCAAATGGTACCTGAGGCAAAACAACATGTAATCGCCAAAATGAATCACAATGCAAGATGACTGCATAAATATGCATCAAGCTGCGTGTTCGGACGCACCAATGTATCCCAATCATCTGATCTACAAAATGGTGAGGACCATGCATTTGTCTACAAAATGGTGGCCCTTTTGTCTACATTTGTCATCATTTGTCTACAAAATGGTGGGCCCCCTCTTATACAGACTCAACAACAGAATAAATCATTCAAGAAAAGAACGGAAGAGTATGGAACAGGATTGAAAAGGATGATTAGGTTTGATAGTCTTTGATAGTTTTTATATGTCTTTATTTTTGGGGGGAATTTTGTTTGGCAAGGCGCGTGCATTCCAAAGTTTGGGGTACAGCACTGCACATAGCCGTCCATGTCAGCTGCTTGGCATAATCATGTTTGAGTCTGCACTTGTGGTCGGCATCGAAGCAAGGCGACATCGGAAAGGCACTGCAATCCAAGTTGTAGAGCTCCTTGACATACTTTATGATTGCAGCCCTGCCGGCCTCACTGCGGCGGCAGCAATCCTCTGTGAATTGCTGCTCTTGGCCGCTGGCATGACCTGCTTTGAGTATCTTCCGGTCCTGTTTCGCCACCCTCAGCTTGCGTCTTCTCTCGCGCTGATTCCGATTCCGCTTTGCATTTCCAGAAGCATTCTGGTGAGGGCCCAAGCCATCCGTCTGTCCCATGCGGCCTCGTTTGCTCATAGTGGGAGCAACATCCCAAAGTTTGTCTGAGATCTCTTCCACGCGTGCCAGCGCGGCCGCTGACTCCTCCGACAGAATGATGTGAAACTCGCCCTTCTCGGTTTCAAAGCCTGGGCAGGACTTGGAGTTTGCTGATTGATAAGCATTGAACTAACAAAATGGTAGCGCCTGGTCTTCTACCACTATCTAAGAACCACCTGCATCAAAATAATTCCAACCTCAGGAGAAAAGGAATGTACCTCCCTCTATTCTATTCTATTCTACTGTATTCTGATGTATTCTGCAACAGGTAGCTGGTAGTGACTAGGACCATTGCCCCTACCATTCTGTAGAGATCCCGCAAGAATCTGCTTTATTGAGCTTCTGTCAATGATCTGAATCCTGGAAAACACTGCAACAGGTAGCTGGTAGTGACTAGGACCATTGCCCCTACCATTCTGTAGAGATCCCGCAAGAATCTGCTTTTATTGAGCTTCTGTCAATGATCTGAATCCTGGAAAACACATGAAACGCAACACCATCTACAAAATGGATCAAGATGGATCAAAAATGGCATTTGATTAAAAATGTTCTGAGATGTACTGAGTGTGCAGCACGGACATCTCTCATTCAAGGAGCTGCGTTCCACATCCAAGATTGTGACCAGGGATTCCATCCTTCTCACCCATGCCAATGAGCGGGAATGGCAATGCCACTCCACAGGTGGTTCCTGGCATGGGTACTTGGGAGATATGTACATTGCATGACGCTACCATGCATGTATATATATATATATCTATCTATCGACGATCGACATAGTAACTAATACATTGTAATACATAGTATTACATAGACCTAAGGGGGTAGCCTAACCATGCCCCTGGAAAATGCTCCATGATTCCATGATATTCATGGATATTCAGTCCTTGTCAGGATTCAAGTCCAAAGACAAAGCCCTGAACGCAAAGCAGCTTGCGATTGGCACCTCGCTGCCGGTCTGCCTTGGTTTGCTGATTCCCTTCCATACGGAAGTAATGAAGCCAACCTCGATACGATTTCCCTGGCCGTTCCCGGGCACAGTGAAAAGGACCGCCAGCCCTGGCCTTAGAAAGGACAGCCAGGCAGCAAGTGGATGCTACTGGCATTTCATGGTTGCATTACTACATTGCATCACTGTTTAAGTATGTTTAAGATTGTTTAAGTACCTTGTGAATCCTTGTGGCTCCAAACACATCCAAAACAAATGAACGTATGCATTATCATGTTGATCCATGTTGATCCATCTTATATAACTTCTACAAAATGGTAGCCCAAGGTATTCCCAACTATAAAATGGTAGTCCAAAATAATTAATCATTAATATACCAAAATTAATCAGAAGACACCCCAGATAAATCAGGATAAATCATGATAAATCATGCTAAATAATTAGAACTCCCATTAAACCATAATTCAGAATCAACAAGCGAGCAGCATAATCCGCTCTGGAGGCGCCACAGGAACTTTCAAGGCCTCCTGGGCAATCTTGACACATTCAATCCATTTCTGGATCCTTGAAGTTCGACTCCTGTATTCTGGGTTATCCTTTTCAGCACGCATCTGTGCTAGGCTGCGATCCAACTGCCTGGACATGTTTGGGCGCTACAAAATGGTTAGGATCATCTCTCAAGAATGTGTTTTATATACTTATTTGTTGAAATGAGGACGCCCACATTAGATGGAACCAAAACAAGAAATGCATAGAAATGCATAGAAATGCATAGAAATGCCCAAACCATACAAAAGCGTCCAAAACCATCCTCCTTCCCATTCGCTGGGTGGAAGTGGGGTGCCCATCCTACAAAATGGTCTGTCTATAACCCATGGCTCTACAAAATGGTAGTGCCTGTCACCTGCTTTGATCCACAAATATATTGATAATTTTGTCAAAAAATGATCAAACCAGGCTTTTTGATTACAAAATGGTTTGTCTTGGTGCCCATAAATGATCATGCCTTCAAAACAAAAATAATAAAACCAGGTAAAACATGGTAAAACCATGTAAAACCATGTAAAACCCACAAATTGCATGCTCGACCCCATTTCCAGCCCCTACTTTCCACAGAATGGTGCCCTATAGGCACCCCAACCCCTCCCATTCTGTGGAGGAAATGGCAAGAAAAAAATAATGGAGATCCAAAACCATCCAAACCCATCCAAAACCCATAAAGCACCAACCCCAGTGCGCCGTGGCACTGATGCCAGTTCAGGTGCTTCGACTGGCGCCGGCAGTTGCGAGGATTTTTGAGGAAGCCAGAGTCAGCACCCCCTGCTCCACATCGCAGCCGCACCGAGAGGCGAAAAAGACGGTTCATCATGTCTCCTCTCAAGGACATGGCCTCAGTCAAAGTGCTGGGCAGGAAGTTTGCGTCATCCCCTTGGCGTGGGCTTCTTGCCTGCTCTGTGCAGAAAGGGCTCCTTCGGGTCCGCAGGGGCTTCGATCAATGAGCGCATCTGCTGTGCATCAGGCACCCCGAGGAGATCTGCGTCAACATCATCACCAGTTTGGTCCTTGCTTTCATCCTCTTCATTCTCTGGGTCCATTGCAGCCGTCTCCTGTCGCACCTGCTGAATGAGTTTGAAGGCAGCAGACTCATCCTCACCAGTCTGCTCATCTGGCTTGAGAAGATCGGCTTCATCTTCAATCTCATCATCATCTAGTTCGTCAAATGAGACCGCGAAATTGCCACCTGCTTCAAAGATACCATCTGTCACAGCCTGTCTCTGGAAGTTGATTCAGGCGGAAGATTGCAATTAAGATCCCTAAGATTCCTCGGGAAATTGGCAATCGTGACAAAGCATGACAAAGAGTCCAAAGGACACAGAAGGCCCATCAGAAACGAGGCACTGAACATCAGTGAGCGGCTTCTGCAGGTCCCGCGTAGGAGGCTTGAGGCGGTTCAGCTCCTTTCCGGTTCTCAGCAGCCGGCGCGCCGCTGCTTGCCAGTACTGCCGCGCAGTAAACTGCGCGCTGGCCATCTGTACGCGAAGCTGACCGAACCACTGCTCTATGGTCAGTTCCGAGCAGCGTGCAAATCCCCGGGACCATCCATTCCAATCCTGCCAGGCAAACACAGCCTTCAAAAATACCCCTTCAAAAATCCTTTCCATGCCCCTGGAAACTAATATTGAAAAGGATTGAAAAGGGAAGCCTGATGATCAGCCATGATCAGCCTACAAAATGGTAGCCCTGAGTATCTGCTTCCTACAAAATGGAGAGGCTTAACAAACCCTGACTCAGGAAAAATTATGGGTAGCTGGGGTCCAGGACCGTAAAGGACCATGAGCAGCCATTACTGCCTCATGCTGATTCAGTCTGATACATGAATTCTGAATTCACATGATATCACTATGAGATTTGAACAAACAATAAACCAATAATAAGCATTAATAAACCGTATACATCCATATACATCAATATACCTTGAACCCCTTTTGCCTACAAAATGGTGGGTAGATAGTCAACGAACCAAAGTCCTTTACCATTTTTTAAAGAGATTCAACGACTTCCCATGAATTCCCAACCAGCAGGAACAGTCCTCTGGCTTCGTGCACGTCATCACCATGGATGACAGGGCACATGCCTGTAGGTTCGAAGTTGTCTGTTTTGCCATAAAACAGGCACCAACGGGCATGTTCATGGACGATGCCTTGCTGCTGGCCAGGAGCTGCATGAGGTCCAATGTGCAGAAGCCGGACACTGCCACTTGGCAGCGTTCTGCCAAAGAGAGATCCCCGTGTAGCAAGGGCGCTATGCAAAGTGCTACCACCAAATTGTGGCACATGGCACCCTGGAGGGCCCAAGGAACCCGCATCTTGCTCAGGTCGCAATCCTGAATGGGTGGGCAACCGAAGGAGACATTCCATGAAATTCCTTGAAATTCTAGCAATCCAGCAAACCTGAAATGAAGATGTTTGGGAAATGCTTGGGATTGCTTGGGCGTGTTTGATAATGTATGATAATGATTGATAATGTTGTATATTGTTGTGCCAAGGGATTGAAAATTATATTAAACATCAATAACAAATCGAGGGGCCACATCTCTGACCAAAAAGAAGGGATTGGAGAGGAGCGACTGCATGCGATCTGACATTGGATTTTCTCGCCCCAGAACCGCAGGTGGCAATCCATGTTCCCGACTGGCTGTCATGTCGGCGAACAGATCTCCGTAAAAAATGGTGCGGAGGGAAGAGGTCAGCTGACCTCCGCTGTTCTTGTTCGCGTGGCCTCACGTTGCTAGTGGACCCCAACGACATGAGGGTCATTGAGGGTCTACAAAATGGTTGGTCACAGTAAGGCAAGTGCAGGGGGGCCTACAAAATGGTTCTCCACTTTTCTCCATCTAAGTAAAAACATAGTAACTTAAAATAATGTAATCGGTGATCAGTCTTCAGTATTGACTAAAAATTGCAATGCAAATGAATTGCACTGATGTGATCTAAAACAAGTCAAGGCACACGCGCCTGGGATGCACCAAAACACTTCATTGTCCTCGCCATGCATTGCTATCTGCGCAGGAACCCGAGGTAAACTGTTGGCCGGCAACGACCGGAACCGCAAGGATGAGAAAAAAGGGACATCAGCCAAGTCATCGCGCAGTCGGTCTCTGCATTCTCCAAACAGGATGCTCCGCAGCAGCAAGTGACTCCCATGGTTGTCGAAAGTCAAAGCCTTCACGCAGTTGTCAGCCTGAGCCAAAACCCGGCCAACGCTGTGCAGTATGTAGAGCGAACCTTGCTCTGATGCCTTGTCAAATGCATGTTCTGCGGGCAGCGAGCACATGGACAATGGGCATTTGCTGCGCCCGCAAGGGTCCCACAACAGCATTTCGAGCATCTGAGTCGACTTCTGCACCTTTCTCAAATCCATTTTTTCGTCCATTGGAATGAACGCATGGTCTGGGCTTTGCACCAAGTAGGACCCCCCCACCATGCCAATCTTCTCGTGGACCTTCAGCTGCGCAAGTGATGGGCTCAAGTACGTAGCGTCAAACGCTAGAAAGAAGCGTCCTCAGCTGAAGACTTATGAGGCATTGTGAGGCAAGAAAACTCTGCAAATAGGTATCTCTACAAATTGGTTGCTCCAATAGTAGCCCTGCATGGCTCTTCTACAAAATGGTATCCCAGGGGTTCCCAGGAGGATCGCCCTTTATCATCCTTTCGCCCCACGTATCATATTGTATCATCATATGTCATTATACCGTACCATCATGTACCATCATTCATTGTCAAAAATCATGATATTTCATCAAAATGGTTGAGAAATGATGAGAAATGAATGAAAATGAATAAACATGATTCAACATGATTCAAAATTATTGATAATTATTGATAATTATTGCACATATTGCAAAATTGCATGCAAGCATCGCTTGGTCTGACCCTGAAACATTGGAAACCGCGTGTTGGCAAGCACGAAGTTTTGGCGAAGCTCCTCCGGCCACAAGACTGAAAGGCATGGCACCGGAAGGTTGTAGAGCTTCAAATCATCCAGCTTTGTCCTGAGGGCCGCCGCTGAAAGCCCAAATTCACGGGCAAGATGTGAATTGCCAGAGGCAGCTGCAAGTTGAATCCCCGCATCACTTATCAGCTGGCATTCATGGGAGCTCTCCTGGCTTCTCCTGCCAACCATACTCTCCACTCCACGCTTGATTTTGTCACACATTCTCTTGCATTGGAGCGAAAGCCCCAATATCAGAGGATGGGAATCGAAGGTTCCATGCAGCGCCGCGCTTGCAACCTTCAGTTGCGCCATCTGTTGGTCATCCACATGCTTTGCAGAAATCAACGCCGCAAACTTGGCGCACAAGGAAGCCATGCGCGCAGGAACAGTTGCAACATTGATGCGGCAAGCAGGGATCACGGTAGTCGCAATGAAAGCGATCAACAGAGAGCTCCTACAAAATGGTTGGACTTCACCCTCCCTCAAAATCATCCACGACGTCTTTACAGAATGGGTATGAATGGGTATCAAATGGTATCAATGGATAATAATGGATAATGATGGATAATGTATGTCCTGGAACCAGTTCTCCAATCTACAAAATGGTAAGGACAAAGCCTCTAGGTGTTCTTAAAATGCAGGATCAATCAGGTACCCTACACATCCCTACACTGAAAAAAGTGATATCTACAGCACCTGCATGCAACTATATGCAACTACCATTTTGTAGAAGATTCATGAAGATTCACGAAGGTTCATGAAGATTCAGCATTTCAAGCTTGCAATTGCCTCCGAAGAATCCCAAACATCCCGAAACATCAATCACCATCAATCATCATCAATCATCATCAATCAGGTTTTAAGCTGGCTCCTGGCATGGTCGTTGGTCGAAAGGAAGGATGCCCGCACAATCTGCTGCAATGAGGGAAGATCCAGGTCTATCGCAATGTCCAACTTGCTCTTCCATGCTGTGCGGTACAGCGCTGAGCCCTTCAACTTGGACAACGCGGCCTCTACATCCTGCTCCTCATGGAAAATGCGTGTGGTCAAGAGATGGGCAAGGTAGTACTTGTAGGAAAAGCGCTGAGCATGTCTGACAATGGACTTGGCTGAACCAAGCTTCTCACATTCAGTGCAGATTGCGCTGTCCTGTTCGGGCAACTTCTCACATCTCAGCTTGCAACTCTTGGATCTCGCAAACCAGCTGTCCAAGCCTTTGTCAAACCAGTACTTGTGATGATCTGTGCCGAGCTGTGCGTTTGGTTTGCTCATGGACAGCCAAAGGTTGAACTCCTCCTTGAAATTGTACACCTTCCCCCCCACCATCACATCAGAGATGCAAAGCCCAGAGCAATCCACAACCTCCAAGGGCTTTGCGCGAGCGCCCAACTTTCCGGCCAGACTGGCGACCTTCTTTTTGTGCGCGTCGCAATCCAAGTGCTGGTACAAGAACCAATGCACAGCATTGAAGGTAGCTTGGCATAGGTCTCCGACCTTCCCATCAGGTGATCGTCTGGTTTTGCACGCACTGCATCGGAACGGGTAAGCCCTCCGAAAGGAGCCAGGCGGCAAAAGGGTGATCGTAGGTGCCTCGCTTCGAACCAATGCCCATGGGTCATTGTTGAACTCACGTCTCCGCCTCTCTCTCTTCTCCTCATAGGTCTCCTTACTTGGCTTCTCATCATCCCCCGGGGCTTTGTCAGGCTCGGGGTCTTGACCGCGTTCTTGAGGTTCATCGGCAGGAACTTCAAGCTTTAGTTCTTGAAAATGATCAGAGCACTTGTACCCATAGTTCTGGAGCAGCTGCAAGCACGGTGGGCATTTGATCTCCTTGCGGTCTAGTAGCTTCTGCTGTAGAGAGACAAACCCATCTTCTGTGCAAATGCCCGCCTTCTTCAAAGGCGCCATCCTGAAGGGAAAATGAGAAGCCAGGGCTTTGAGCGACTGGTAAAAAACAGGTGGAAATAGAAAAAAAAAGCGAAAAAATATGAAAAAAGACATATTTGATTACATTTAACCAAGCACAACTACATATAATTACTACAAAATGGTTGGTCCTGCTGTCCCAAATGGGCTCCTATGAGATCATATTGGGATATATTGGACCTTCATTGCATTTTATTGCGCATACAAAAACATACAAACACATACAAACACTACAAAATGGTTTGGCCATGTGAAACCCGCGCTCCCTGATGGGATCACATTAAATCATACTGGTGCGCGGGTCATCATGGATCACCATGGGTTATAATGGTATATGTTAAATGGGCGTGTGCTGATGTAAATTGACTCTTATAATATGATCATATATGATCTATAAATATCCATAATGTGTTGATGTGAAAACCCAGCCTCGCATGAATCTTCTGAAAGGCAGGCCAAGTTATGCCGATGCCGCTCAAGTAGGTCCTGGTCCTCTTCAGATGTTGCTGCCTGCTATCCACCACCTTTTTCCTCCCTACTCGTCCATGTTTCGCACGTGTGATGCGAACCGGTGCCAAATCCTGCAAGGCAGCATGGAAGCACTACAAAATGGTTGGGCATAGAGCTGGGACAGCACCTACGTCCACCTACCATTTTGTAGAAGATTCATGAAGATTCATGAAGATTCATGAAGATTGATGAAGGTTCTGCATTTCAAGCTTGTTATTTTTCATATTATGTGTCCTTTCTGCATCAGCAACCTGCAAACATCCCAAACCTGTCCCGTCCTCAGCTTCAGAGTCATCGTCATCCTCCTGCTGGTCGGGATCTTCACCCTCCAGTAGTGGCGCAGCCTTGCGCTTCTTGGGAATGTTGGGAATGTAAGGCACCAAAATTGGCTCTGGAGCTTTGGGTTGGCCAAAAGCCGCTGGCCGGCAAGCTCCCACAGCTTTTGTACTCGTCGGTTTGCCCGGCGGCGTGGGCTTGTCTGCATCAGGTATGCGGGGTCCCCGGCGAGAGGTCCTTGGGGTTCTGGGATCACGGCTTTGCTTGGCATTGACCTGCACAGGAACTTCTCGGTCCAAGCCGAAGGCAAAGAAGAGTTTTTGCCACACGGGCTCTTTCGCGCTTTTCTTCCACAGGTTGGTCAACTCCTGGGCAAGCAGCCAAGGGAAGGCCCTGGCATAGGGATGTAGAAGGATGATGAAGGATGATGAAAGATTTAGATGGATTTAGAATGATTTAGATGGATTTAGGGTATTGCAGGGTATGTAGGCGAAAAAATATTGATGATCAGGTATGACCAGACATAATATATCGTAATATCATGTAATATCACGTAATATCATTGGGATCACTGCTGGGCCCTGAGCACGATTGGTGTGACTATAAAATGGTAAAACATGGGAAAATATGGTGATGTCAGATCCATGCATAGGCATGTACAGAAAATGGATGTAAAAAGTAAACAAATGTAAGTGACATTACGGGGTAATTATGGGTAATCAATGGTAATCAATGGTAATCAATGGTAGTCAATGGTAATCATGGGTGCCCAGTTGGTAGATAATGACAAAAATGGGCAATCGCTGTCCCACCCTTCCCTACAAAATGGATGCCAAGACTCCTTTCGCACCTCCTTCATTTCAGATTTGGAAAGTGTAGTGCCCGGTTCTCTCGCATTGAGGGCGAGAAATGACCAAATTCCACAGTTTCCGTCTGCTGAGACAAAATCTCGGCTAAGGTCCCTGCTGTGCATGGCATTCAGGAAAGCTTGTTTCTGCTCCAAGCTAACCCACTGAGCGGAGAGTGACTCGGCCACACCTTCGTCTTCTTCTAGTTGTTCAGAACTTTGAGCAAGCTTGGCCAATTCTTTGGCTGTACGTTCGATTTCCGCAGCTAGCTGGGCTTCTAAAGTAGCTTTGTGCAGGTTCCACTTGGCCTCATTCATGTCATCCTTGTGGAAGGCAGGGACCCAATGGTTGCATTCGTTCACTTGTGTAGCATGTCGCCAGTCTGCCCTGCATGCAATCATGTACCAAAGGTCCCCATGTAGTGCACTGTCCGGCATCGGGAAGACAGAGGCAAGATCAACGTTGTCACAGTCACTTTGTTCCAGGAATGCACTCAGGAGATCCACCAACCTACGGGGGTTCTGGTTCTCGGAACCATAGTAAAGGATAGCCACGTCTGATTTCGAGTGTAATGCAAGAAGAGCTAAATCCAGGAGCCCCAGGTAGACGCCAGGTTTCCCGATGTATTCAGCATAGAGCTCCTTCATGGCGATTCTACATGGTGTTTTGTCCTACTTGCACCGAAATCACTACAAAATGGATTGGTATAGGATGGTATAGGATGGTATAGGATGGTAAACCAGAAAACCATGGGTGGTTGTCTCTACATGGTGTCAGCGTGTCTTAGCCATTAGCCTTAGCTTCAACACCCAAATCTCCACTACAAAATGGATAGACATGAGATGACATGAGTGGTGATCTATGGTTGTCTCATGTTGTCTTTAGATGTCTTTAAATTGTTACCACCAAATTCTCCACTACAAAATGGATAGATTTGGGTGACATGGGTGACATAAAGACCTTCGATGACCATGGATGACCTTCATTGACCTGTGGAAGAGGGACCCACCGTGCGCCGCTTCCCTCCTGTTCCCCCCAATACTTCTGACACACGGTACAAGAAAGCCGAGGTTCCATAGTACGTTGCCGTAGCTGCCGTTCTGCGACATCAGACTGCACCTGCTTCGAAGAAGACTCGGCCAATGCAGCAGAAGGCTGCGATGCTGCTGAAGAGGCACACTGCGCACCTCCAAGATGATGTGGGGGAAAAGTATGGAAAAAGACGGAAACAGATGGAAAAGAATTGAAAACGACAAGGAAAAGGATGGAAAAGGATGGAAAAGGATGGAAAAGGATGGAAAAGGATGGAAAAGGATGGAAAAGGAATGAGAAGGATGGAAAAGGGAAAAGCATGGAAAAGCATGGAAAACAATTGACAAGGATTGACAAGGAATTAAAAGGTATGACTGCTCATGTGTGTGTGCAGGTTGGTAGTTAGCATCTTAGCAATCCGGAATCTGGATGAATACAGACCCTAGGCTACTAGGCATCCCTAGACCTTGGTAGCCCCTGGTAAACCTCCAAGCCAAGCCTGGAGTCCGACGACTCTTGGGGGGTGGAGTTACAGGAGCTTCCAATGGCGGTTCTGCAAACGTTGCTTCGTTCAACAGAAAGTCGCCCCGGATCATGTGCTGGTCGAGTTCCCGCCAAGGTCGCTGACACGGCTTCTCCTTGGCCAACTTCTCCGGTGTCTTCGGTTCGCCTGAGGGAGTCCAAGAAGGGTCAGGGTTCGCTACAAAATGGTAGCTTCACTGAAACCCAACCAGAGCTAATATGAGCTAATGATAATGATTGCTAATGACCATATACATCCAAAATCATCCATATACATGCATATACATCCTTCTGTGAATTACATGGGGGGTGGATTAACGTGGTCCATTTGGTGGAGAAACAAGGTTTTGTCTGCAAAATGACTCTGGAACCCATCTTCCAACCTACAAAATGGTAAGGCCAGACTGTCATGGTCTACAAAATGGTAGTGCTTGTCAATTGTCTTGGATAACTTTAACCTCAAAAATGAATAAACATGACATATTACATTTAGAATCACTTACATACATTTAGAATCATTTAGATACATTCAGTAGGTAAAATCTTCCCACATTCTGCAAACAGAAGATATACATCCATAATTTGTCATAATTTTTCCATATACATCCTTCTGTGAATTACATGGTGGGTAGATTAACGCGGGCCATTTGGTAGAGAAACAAGGTTTTGTCTGCAAGATGATTCTGGAACCGGTCTTCCAACCTACAAAATGGTAAGGCCAGACTGTCATGGTCTACAAAATGGTAGTGCCTGTCAATTGTCTTGGATAACTTTAACCTCAAAAATGACATATTACATTTAGAATCATTTACAATCATTTACAATCATTTACATACGTTTAGTATCGTTTAGTAGTAAAAACATGTAAAAACCTTCCCACATTTTGCAAACAGAAGCTTCTAATCAAACCCACAGCTTGCCAAAAGAAACCAAAACAGTTCGCCTGCACAGGTGGACTTTGATTTCTTCGCAGGAACCTCTGGTTTCTCATCCTGGAGCAGGGCTTCGGGATGCAGATGGGCCGCAGCAAAGGGGTGAGGTTGACATATTTGAACTGCTTGCTGGGGCTGGGGAAGGATTCCTCCAATGACCCTGAGGATAAAAAAAGGTAAAACAAACCAGATAATGCTCAAGACGCTTTCAAACATGAACAACGTGGAACACCTTCTACAAACACCCAAAGACAACCACAAACAATCAAACACATCCCAGCACACCCTGCTAGAGCCCGCCTTGACGGGCACTGGCATGTGACGCTTGGAAATCTCAGAAAGTTCTTTCTTGAAAGTCTGAGAAAGTGGGGCACTTGGATGTGGAGGGCTTTTGCCAGTCTGTGGTTCTGGTTCTACCTTCACTCTCTTCAAGGGCTGGGCGGTTGCTGGTGCAACGGAACATTTCGATTCTCTTGCTGCTTCTTGTTTGACAATACATTCCGGCTGCGATCGTTTCGTTGGCGCCACAGCTGGCGGAGGAAGAGGAGGTGGGGACTCTTGTCGCCGCGCTGTCGGCAAAGGTGCTGTAGAGGCCTTGCATCAAGTGAGCTCCCAGACTAGTCCCCTCAAGTTCTCTCGAGCTATTTCATCCCTAGGTACCCCCGATCAAAAAAATGCCAAACCTCACCAAATCTGAAAGTATATCTTTACATATATACATGCATACAATTCCACAAGTAGCGGCCTCAGCTGATCTTTACATAAAGGTTGATAACATGAAAACTCTTACAACATGGGTCCCCACTAGCCTCTGAAAGTTCCCCAGATCCTTCAGCGGGTCTCCCTGCAGCAGCAGGTACTTCTTCTCGTTCAGCCCCCTGCGTCCAGAAAGTCAAAGGACAGGAATACAGGATGGGAAAGGTAGCACCGAAATCCAAAGAATGGGGTTCCGTATGGGTTCGATATGGTTAGATCAGATATGAGCAGACCACACAAGAACGAGATGAGATGAGCAGATCAAACAAAACCTTCAGAAAAAACATCATGAAAACATGATCTTGAAAATCCATGAAGATCCTTCATGATCCTTCAGTGTTTTTGTTCATCCATGTATGATCCCATGCAAAGCTTCTACAAAATGGTAGGCCCATGTTGGCCCTGATCCAACAAGAAACCTCCTCTTGCCTCTGCGGCTGCCTGCTGTGCCCCAGCTCCAACTTCAGAATCCCCAGGAGCAGGACGCGCTTCTTCTTGCTCAGCATCCTGGTCAAGAGCACCAAAGGACAGGAATACAGGATGGGAAAGGTACCATCGAAATCCAAAAGAGGGGGGTTCCACATGGTAAGGTCGGATATGTTCTAATCATAT